GTCCCAGCACACTGCTTCCAGCCCCAGCCCACCTGATCCAAGGGCTCCTCTGTCCAGGTGTCTGTATCATCTGCTACTTCCTGGGCCCCTTCTGTTTCCTTCCTTGGGTGGGGAGCCCCATACACTCCTGATGAGGGGACAGCATTGGCTGATGCTCAGGCTGAGCCCTGAACATTCTTTCCCTTGATCTTCTCTACTAGCCCTTCCCCTCCCCTGAGCCTTGCTCCTCATTACCTCCGAGGATGGCAGGGTACTTCAGAAGCAGGACTTTGGCCCCCACCCCCGTCCTTCCCAAATCCTACCCCTGAAGACTCATTTCTTTGAGTTTCCATGTACTTCTTTCCATATGCCAAGTCCTCGTAAAGAGACAAGGGACTGGCCCTGGCTGGGTAGCTTCATTGGTTGGAGCATCATCCGTTCACCAAAAGGCTGTGGGTTTGATTCCTGGTCAGGTCACATATTTAGGTTTTGGGTTCCATCTCTGGTTGGGGATGGGAGGCAACCAATCGATGTTTCTCTCTCATATCAATGTTTATGTCTCTCTCTTTCCCTTCTGCTCTCTAAACATCAATAAAAAACAAATCCTGCCGAAACCGGTTTGGCTCAGTGGATAGAGCGTCGGCCTGCGGACTGAAAGGTCCCAGGTTCGATTCCGGTCAAGGGCATGTACCTGGGCTGCGGGCACATCCCCAGTGGGGGATGTGCAGGAGGCAGCTGGTCGATGTTTCTCTCTCATCGATGTTTCTAACTCTCTATCTCTCTCCCTTCCTCTCTGTAAAAAATCAATAAAATATATAAAAAAAAAAAGAAAAAAAAAAAAAAAAACAAAAAAACAAATCCTCAGCCCAGCTGGCATGGCTCAGTGGTTGAGCATCGACCTATGAACCAGGAGGTCGCGGTTTGATTCTCAGTCAGGGCACATGCCTGAGTTGTGGGCTCCATCCCCAGTGTGGGGCACGCGGGAGGCAGCCCACCAGTGATTCTCTCTCATCATTGATGTATCTCTCGCCCTCTCCCTTCCTCTCTCAAATCAATTAAAAAACAAAAACAAAACAAACAAATCCTCAGGTGAGGCTTAATAGAGACAGACAGACAGACAAAGGGACTGGATATGCACGTGGGAGACAGCTCTGCCGAGGTCAGGGCTAGCTCTGTACCTGGGCGTTATGCCCCCATGGACCATCCCCACAGCAGCAGGGACCTCCCCTGTTCCAGTGAGAAGGTGGCTGAGAAGAGTCTCGGTCCAGGGGCCCCTCACCTGATGGGAATGAGAGCGCGGGGAGCAGGCTTCTTGGCTGAGTAGCCTGTGGGGGTCTGGCATAGAAAGCAGATGGCTCAATTTGGCTTGGTTTCGTTGGAGAGGGTTGGGTTGTGTGTGTCCTGTGGCCATGGGCCTGTAGAGGGAACACAGTGCTTGGGCCACAGGCACTGGTTGTTCTTACCTTCTCTACTCCCAGTCCAGGCTTGAATGCCCTGGTGCCTGTGGTAGCTTGAGAGGAGATGCCGTCCATCTTCAAAGCCTGCATCCTCCCTCCCTGCTCCCTCTTCCCATCAGGCTGCCTTATCCAAGAACAGAGTAGCTGGTGCCTGGCACTCAAGAAGCCCAGGGAGCCCCAGCTGGTTTGGCTCAGTGGATAGAGCGTCGGCCTGTGGACTGAAGAGGCCTGGGTTTGATTCCTGGTCAGGGAACATGCCTGGGTTGTGAGCTCGATCCCCAGTGCAGGGTGTGCAGGAGGCAGCCGATCAATGATTCTCTCTCATCATTGATGTTTCTCTCTCTCTCTCTCTCCCTCTCCCTTCCTCTCTCAAATCAATAAAAATATATGTATATATAAAAAAAAGAAAGAAGGCCAGCGAAACCAGACCGAGTCTCCCTAGCCCCCGTTGGATGCTCAGTGGCTCATCTCACGGGAGATAAGCTCCTGTAGACTCTGCTGTGCCAGATATACCACTTCTCTCTGTCGGCACTGAACCTGGCGAGCAGGCATTAGGTCCAGGAAGTCAGAGTCCTGAAGTTCCTCATAGAGCCTGGATGAGCTGACTTTCCGATCAGGGTCTGGTCTGGCCCCTACCACTCAATTACTGTGTCACCCTGAACAAATTACTTCACTCCTTTGAACTTCAGTCTCTCCTCTGGGAAATGGGAATAATAATCTCTCTTTCACACGATTACTGAGAGGATGCAGTGAGGTAAGGGCAGAGCCTGAGCTGCAGGGGGAGTCAGCCAGTCACTCTCCTTCCTCCCCTCGCTCCCTTTGGCCTCACACGTCACCTACCCCCTGCTTGTGGGGCCTAGACTTTCGGTCTCGAGGATGCCTGCAATGAAAAAGGAAAAGCTTGTAGTAGGCAGAAGAGGACATGGGGTCAGGGCGGCTTCCTCGCTCTAACCAGCTACCCCCCCAACCCCCGCGCCCCCTCACACATACATACCAGCAGCCCCTGGGCAGTGAGGGGTTAGGCACCAGCAGCTCCAGGTAGGGGAGGGCCTTGAATTCATCTTCTCCAACAGCCACATAGTAACGGCCGCTCACCAGAGCCTCCCTTGCTGACAACGGGAGGCCTTCCAAGGTGCAGAGTCTGGGGGAGAGAGGTGAGCGGAGGACAAGATGCCTCTTCATATTTGGCAGATTATGAGGGGGTGGGTACAGCTATTCCAGGGTATCCTTTGGCTACTTGTCCTGTGGGCACCAGGGCCAGTCCCCAGGCTCTGCCCTGGCTCCAAGAGAGCTGGGCTGGAGGGGCCTCTGCCTGTGGCACAGAAAGAAATCCCATTGAGGGAAATGTGCTTTCCTTTTGCCTTTTCATCCTCAAGGACAGTCGAAACCAGTAAGGAGGCTCCCTTTGGAGACTTTTGGGCTTCTCCAGTCCCCATACTCACTTGCACACAGCCCCACTCTGTAACTTGGCCTTCTCCGTCAGGAGCTTCAGCACCGTTTCCCAGTCCTCGCTGGCAGCCTGGGACAGCTTCAGCCCAAATGGGGGACTTAACAGGTCCCCATTCCTGAACACACTGGGACAAAGAGCAGCCTGGTAAGGGGGAGGGTCCCCAGAACTTCCTATGTGTGAAAGGAAAAAGGGTGGCACAGGGGTCAGAAGATGGTTCAAGAACCAGCCAGTGCATTGGTCCATTTTCACCCATCAAGCATGTTGGACTTTTTATGTTCCCACCAGGGACCATGGGCTGCTGGAATAAACCCACTCACATTTTCTCGGTCTCACTGCGACAGAAATGTATGCCCTTGCTCCGGACACGAGCACTTACTGGATATAGCAGGGGGCACCTGCAGGCAGCCTCCATCCAAGGGCCCCGTCACCTGGGTGCTGAGTCACAGGACAACACTAAAACCCAAGTCAGGTGAGAGTTGAGGCCTTTGGTTAGGGTGGGCCAGTCCAAGGCAGGTAGGGTGAGGGAAAGGAACCTGATTGGGGCAGATGCGGCAAGAAGGGATGGTACTGGTCATATCTTCACCAAAGGGTTCTTCTAACTTCCTAAGTCACGTTCTCATCACCCCCTGCCCATGTGTTTTACAGCTCCCTTTCCTTTGGGGACCACAGCCTGGAGATAAAGTGAAAGGCTGGGAAGGGAGCAAGGGATAGTGTCTTGAAGTCTCACACCCAGGAAGCATAGTAGCTGTTCCAGAGTAGGCGTGGAGACTGCTGCCAGGAGACTGGCAGGTCCTGCCCTTGCCAAGGCCCCTGGCTTCCCAGATGAAATTGGAGGCAATCCCAGGAGGGGTGGGAAGACTTACTGGTAGTCTGCTGCTTTTCCCACCTAGATCCTTCCCTCCAGGGGGCAAGTAGCTGAAAGGACAGATAGGTCACAGGTCATCTTGGGAAGCCTTGTAGATGCCAGAGCTGGGGGCTGGGGCCCAGCTCACCAGCCATCCCTTCCCATTGGAACAGTCTGTCATTTCAGTCCAGAAACAGACGCTGGCACTTGAACCTGCCTTAGTGTCCTGAGTCAGGTTGACACAAACCGTAAGATGAAAGGTTGAGAGAAACTAGTTCATTAAGCATCCTACTGTATCTCAGAAATTTTCTGATTCGGAGGAAGAGCCTTTGGTAAAAGGGGCTCAGCCTGCAGGAGGTTTTCCTTCTCACAGGCTGGTCCTGTGATGGACAAACATCAGTGTCAGACTTCAGCTTGGACTGTGGCTCCACTATTTGTTACTTAACTTCATTGTCTTGATGTCCCCTTTCTAAAGAATGGGGACGAGACCACCCCTTCATAGGGTTGCTGCATTTAAACGTCTGAAGTGTCTGCACATACCTAGTACATTCTGAACGTGCTATTGCTGTTACCTCCCTCCCTACACTCTGACCAGCCCCAGCTACTCACTGGAGCTTGCAGAATCGTTCGAAGCCAGCAGCCACATACTGCCCTCCGTTCTGCAGGTCGGCCAGGTCAGTGACAGGGTGGCCATGACAAGGAGTGTATAGGGCGCGCACGGCCAGTGAGGCCTGCACAGCTGATGTCACCTCGCTGAGGAAGGCCTCCAGGGTGGGGAAGCGGTGTTGAGTGACCACCAGCTGGCGGCCTGGGAAGAAAGGGTCCCCGTTCCGGTACACCACTACCCTCTTGGCTGCCATAGTGTGCTCTCAGCTAGAGACGCAGAGCTGTTGCCAGGCAACCAAGGCAGGCCTGGGAGCAGTGCCAGTCAGAGGGGGAGGCCTGCCCTCTCACTCAGGAATGCAGGGAGAGCCTCGGCAGGAACATCTATCGACATTCAGGGTCTCATTCAATCTGCCCTTGCAGGGGCCTCACCAGAGCAGAGAGGGTGTAATCACTATATACAGGAAGATGCTGGGGCTCGGTGAGAGGCAGTGGCAGAGATCACACTGAAATAGATGGCCCAATACGGGGCCGAGGGAGGGCTTCTCAGAATCCCCCTGCCACCTTACAGGGAGGATCAGCTTTGGGGATTATTTCCCAAGGATGGCTAGTCTGCTTCCAGCCAGTTCTGACCACAGGCAGCAAATGAATGCAATGAGGCTCAGAATCCAAGGAAAACCTTTATTTTCCATCAGGTCTCCCCTTTTACTTACCCAGGTAACTCCCCTGTCCTGAAATTTGGATTGAGCCCAGATAAAGGATGAAAGGGTGTCCTTCTCCCTCCTCTCCCTGTACTGGTGCCAACTCTTTGCTCCAGCTTCTCTTGGCCCCACTGGCCACCAAGAGCCAGGGGCAGGAGGTAGAACTGGTCCCAGGGACCTGTCTCCTTGCCCTTTCATATCAGCCCTGGCTCCCCCAGCGTCTAGCCTGCTGGTCCTGTTTCCCACAGCCTGTCCCTCCAGTGGTTCCCTCCTATGCTATCTACCCTGTAGAAGACAGTTTCTCAAGTGGCCTTCATCTCCCCGGTCCATTCCTCTGGCTTTTCCATCCTTCAGGGCTAGGCTCATTGGAAGCTCTACCTCTGGAGCTTTTATTACTGGGGGTCTGGGCCTGGGCGGTTTGGTCTTCCAGAGATCCAGGGTACCATGTTCTGCCAGAGTCCCACCCCAGATGACACGGTCCTCTGAGAGGCCCAGCTCTCGTGGCCTAGCTCTTTGGCAATTAGGCTCTTTGTGGTCTGACCTTCTAGGAGACTTATCTTCAATATTTGGGTCCACACGGAGTCTGGGCAGCTGTGTTCTGGCCTTTCCAGAACAGGGGCCCTTAGGTTTGAGGCCTGTGGGTGTCTGGTCCTCCGGTTCTGTCAGCTGTAGGCAGGTCCCTCCAAAGGTCTGTTCCCCAGGATGTGGCTCTTTGGTGAGCCTGTTCTCTGTGGCCTGCTTATCTGATGGTGTGGGTAGCTGTGGTCCAGCCCTCCTGCGGTTTGGGTCCCTGTACTTGGCCCCAGTAGTGATTGCATCTGTAGTGGCCAGTCTTTCTGGGGATTTGTGAGGTTGTGATCTGAGCCTCCAGCAAGAGTCATCTGCATGGTCTTGCTCTCCAGTTGTCCTGTCTCTGTAGTACTGGTCTTCCAGTGGGGGGCCTGGTTGTGACCCAGCTCTTTCACAGGTCTGTCCCCCGTGGTCTAACCTTGCCTCTGGGGATCCCAGTGTTTGTTTGAGAACTAGGTACTGTTGGGAAGAGAACAAACACTGTACCAGACAGGCCTGCAAGGGCATGGCAGGAGGCCTTTCCCTCACTGCCACCCTTGTTTCTACATGTCACAAAGGGTTCCAAGTTAGTGCCTACCTCCTTACGGCTATTGATGGCCTGCTGTATCCACAGCAGCTCCATGGCCAAGTGGCTGTGCTGGTACTGGAGCTCCTGGAGCTCTGTTGGACTGTGGGGCAGTCCTGGACCTGCAGCTTCTTGAAGGAGGGAGGAATGGGAGAAAGCCTAAGGTGTAAATCCTGGGCAGTGACCTAGCATTAGACCCTAGCACCCTCCTCCTGCCCACCCACGAGTTGCCCTCAACTAGGCGAGAGGAAGGAGATGGGGTGCAACTTATCTAGAAAAAGCCTTTCACGCCCTAGCCGGTTTGGCTCAGTGGTTAGAGTATCGGCCTGCAGACTGAAGGGTTCTGGGTTCGATTCCGGTCAAGGGCACATGCCTGGGTTGTGGACTCAGTCCCCAGTGGGGGCGTGCAGGAGGCAGCCAATCAGTGATTCTCTCTCATCATTGATGTTCCTATCTCTCTCTCCCTCTCCCTTCCTCTCTGAAATCAATACAAAATATAGTTTAAAAAAAGCCTTTCACTTTTTAGGTGGGAAAGTCGAGGCCCATAGAGGGTCAGGGGCTTGCCCTGATCTAGGCAGAGAGGTACCTGGGTTCTCCATCCTTGGCATAGCTTCAGTCTCCTCTTGGCTGGGTTTCCTGGTTTTCCTACTTTGCTGATCCTGAAGCCAGGAGCTGTCATCTCTGCGGTGAAGACTTTCTGAGTTTGCTGAGCTCTCTCCCGACTTCTTCAGCAGCATCTCTTTCTCGGGCTCCTTACATGGGAAGCAACTCCATAGTTCCTGCTCTGACTGTGGTACCCTCTCTCCAGCTTTCCAGTTCCGATGGGATCTTGCCTTCTGAGAAATCGGAGAGGTATGAGTGCCCCAGGGCTAAACCTCTAAGTATCTGGGTGCCGTTCGGCTTACAAGTGGGGGGAGATTCAGGATTGGGGTGTGGGGAAGCAAGCCTGCTGCTGCCTTCTCCATTGAGAAAAGCTTGTCAGCAGGAAGGGTGGAGTCTACCATTCCTTTGAATCCCCTGCCCAGGTCCCTTCTCCTTCTGGGGTGTGCACTACCTGTGGGAGGAACTGGGGCCTGGGAATCCAGCCTTCAGTCCACTGCAGGGTGCCCAGATCACCCTCGATCTCTCGTACAATAGCCTCATACTCTGCTCGGAGACTCTGGAACTGGCGTCGGACCAGGAAACCCCGGACGCAGGCCTGGTGGGGAAAGAAAGCCTCATCACTGCTAAGGTGGAGGCATCCTCTGGGATTCTCCTGGGGAGGTCACCCCGTGGCCACGGGCAAAGGAGAGGTGACGCTGTGCGCTGGGGCTCCGGGCTGGATCCCCGTTTCCATGGTCCCCCAAGAGCGTGTGCTGGGAGCGCGTGGGGGCCCCTGGGTCCCAGCCTTCCTCAGGGCGGTATCTCCGAGGTCCATGGGGGTCATCATGTGCACCCGACCGCCCGGTACCTGCAGCACCACCACCTTCCGAACCAACTGCTCCCACTCCATCTGGGTGCCAACTGCCCGCGCGGCTGCCGGCGCCTGCCTCGTGCGTCACTAGTCGGCGCCCAGGGCTGGCGAGCCAGGCCCGCCCCGCCGTCTCCAGGACAACCTCCCCTCCGGCCTGGGCGGGATGAGTCCGAGCCTCCGCGCCCGCCGGGGCCGCACTGGGATTCCGGCCTCCAGGAGCCGGACCTGCCGAACCGGAAGTGGGTTGCGCGGGGATGTATCTGCCCGGCCGGGGCCTCCACCCGAGAAAGACGCGATGAGAGAGGGAGGACACGGAGCCGCGTTCGTTCATTCTGGTTTAATTCCATGTAATCCCCCCTCCCCATAGCACCTGGGGGGCCACAGAATACGCAGTCGAGTCTGTAAAAAGTCACAGTTTGAAGGGAATGAGCGGGGGCAGTCCGGGCGTCGGTCCGACACCTACACCGCTGCCTGCTCCTCAGGCTCCGCATTCTCGGCCAGGTGCAGCTTCTGTCTGTGTCAGTCAAGGATTGGACACTGCAGACCCGGTCTTTCCAGCCCCATCTTTCCATCCTGCACAGGCTGGCTCTCCAACTGCGAAAGGGGCTGTGCAAGGGACTCTGGGGTGGTCTGAGGTTGCAGTCTTTTTTAAAAAATATATTTTTATTCATTTCAGAGAGGAAAGGAGAGGGAGAGAGAGATAGAAACATCAATGATGGGAATCATTGGTCCATCCCTCCTGTATGGCCCCCACTGGGGATAGAGCCTGCAACCTGGGCATGTGCCCCTGACCAGAATCAAACCTGGGACCCTTCAGTCCACAGGCCTTAGCTTTATCCACTGAGCCAGACCAGCCAGGGCTGAGGTTGCAGTCTTCATCGGCCCTTCTTGCTAGGTGGCTTAGCCCATTCTCTTTTGATCTAGTAGATCCTACAGGTGTCTGCATCCGCACTATTTCTGACCAGGACTAGGTAGGGAGATCATCTAAATCACTGAAAATAATTGCGTGCTGAAAGATTAGGAAGACATTAGACAAGCTTTGCCATGGATTGGTGTCAGCCAAAGTGCTTGCAAAGATTTTGGGTAAGTAGGTAAAACATACTCCCTGCAACCACTTTTTCCTAATATTTGGGAAATTCTTCCTGCACTCCTTTTCCCGGGTGGGGGCAGTCTGTGGCTAACTCTGACTTAGTAGGACATCAGAGTGTGGCGATGATGTTATAGTAAACACTCCTGGAGGGTGTGAGGGAAGAGGAAAGTGATACCATCTCTGGGAGGCCCATACACATACACAGGTCCGGGAAAGGATACATGGAATTACTAAGATCTTCCAGCTGTGGAGAGAAAGAGACATTCCTGTCAGAAGAGGCACCAGGCCAAACCCCAGATGTTCTGAGTGCCATTTTCTTGTGGGCTTGAGAGACTCAGAGCTCTTAGCTTTATGCACCCCCAGCTTTTCACCCAAGGGTCAATAATGGCCTTAAGAGCAGTACCTCCCCCACTCCCTTATGCCCCCAGGAATCAAAGCACCCAGCCCTGACCCACATTGCTAAGCAGCTGGTCCAGGTTGCGGTCAGCCGTGGTCTTCTTCTGCTCTTCAGGCAGCCCCTCAGTGACCCCGTCCTCTTCTTCCTCCTCTTCCTCCTCCTCCCCACACACGTCCAGGCTGAAGTGCAGCCGGGCCAGCTTCTCCTGCATCTCCCGCACGTGCTCCAACTGCTCGAAGGAGCATTCCTTCCCTGGACAGCACCTGTCTGAGCCCTGGGAGCAACTTTGGGACCTTGGCCCCAGCCACTCACCAGAGACCAGGCCCTCTAGCCGTGCCCCCCACCCCCTCACACACACACACACACACACACACACACACACACACGCACACCCCACACACAGATACCCTCTAAACCAACTCCCAGGACTCACCGAAGGCCTGTAGCCGGCCTGAGTGGAAATCATTGAGCAGGTTCAACAGTCCTCCCTCCATCTCATAAACATCGGTCACCTCAGTCAGGAACGAGTGCTGCAGGGGGGTGCCTGCAGAGCCAACCCCACCTCCGGCCAGCACCGGGCGGCATTTCTCCTTGCCTACCCTGGGTGGAGTGGACATGACCAAGGTCACAGGGCAGAGGCAGCCAGGCACCCCCAGGTCTTTTGTGCCATCTATCTGTACACTAATTCATCTTCCTATCCACTCATCAACATAAATGGATGTTTGTTCTTCTGGCCCTGCGCTGGGTACCAGGACTGATAATAGGAAGGAAGGGTGAGGAGGGATGAGGGTAAGAAGTCAAAATAAGTTGTTTTTTTTTTTCTAACAATGATAAAGTCAGAGCCATGCCTGGAAGGAGGCTCCTGGGTTCCTGTCTGAGCCCCCACTCATTCCTCCTGTGACCCTGAGTGAATCACTTGTCCTCACTGGTTCTCAGTGAATTTGGGGACAGTTACTCCCTTATTGCCATGAGAGCTGTCTTACCTCTCCCCATAATATCTTTCTGACACTCTTCTATTTAAAAACTATGATTGATTTTGAGAGAGAGAGAGAGAGAAACACATTGATTCTGTTGTTCTACTTATTTATGCATTCATTGGTTGATTCTTGTATGTCCCCTGACCAGGATCGAACTGCAACCTTGGTGTATCAGGAAGATGCTCTAACCAACTGAACTACCCGGCCAGGGCCTTTAAAAACTTTTGAATTTTCCATTGCCCTTAGAATGACACCTAACGACCTTCTCAGCCTGGTCCCCATCTGCAATCCCATTCTCCAACTGCATTTCTTCTTATTCCTTCCCCAGTCCAGAGCTTCAGCTATACCCACTGTGGCTGTCCCTAAACATGCCCCTAAGGCAGGGGATGTCAAAGCCATAGGGAAACATAGCAGTTGCAGAAAGAACACACAGGGACACATTATAGGGTAGGATGCAGATTCCCAATCATTAAAAAATATTAAGCCCTGGATGGTCCTTGAGAATGTTATGCTATGTGAAACAAGTCAATCAGAGAAAGCTTACCATATGATTTCACTCATATGTGGGATATAAGACCGAAACTCACAGACACACACAACAGTATGGTGGTTACAGAGGGAAGGATGGGTTAGTAAAGGGGAAAGAAGCCAAATATATGGTGTCGGCAGGTGATATGACTGGGTGGTGGGCACACAATGCAATATACAGATCATGTATCAGAGAAATGTACACTTGAAACCTATATGATCTTATTAAACAATGCCACCCCAATAAATTTAATTTAAAAATTGGGCCAATAATTCTAATTGTATACCTGAGTAGCTCCTCACCATTTCCTACCTATGACACTCCAGGGCCACCAAACCACCTGTGGTTCCTGGAACTTTCCAGGCAGTATTTTTCTTCTTTCTTATGCCAAGCAAGCCCCTTAGAACATTCTCCCTGTCCAGTGTCCCCCCAGCCTTGACTCTCACTTCCTGGCAGGCAGTGCTGCTCACTCCCTGCTCTGAGGGATTCAGTCATCACACTGTGTGACCCACCCAGCCTCTCCCCCACACACTTGAGGATTGACGCTGGGCCTGAGCACTGGGTTCTCAGGGGCAACCCCAGGGAAAGCATCAATTATTGCTCAGTACCTAAAGGCTAAGGCCCCTTTACCTTCCTGACCATAGTGCTCAGCTTAGAGTTAGGCTCCCTCCCTTCTTGCCCTTTCCTTCTGTACCCACCTCTTGAACTTGGCCCTCTGTTTGGGGGACGGCAGATGAGGGAGGCCCAGGGCCAAGGAGCCACTGTGGCTGGTGGGCACAGGGACCCTGCGGAGTGTTCCTGGGGCTGCAGCCGGCTGGGCCAGGCAGGGTTTGGGACTCCTTTTCTTCTTCTTGTCCTCCATTGATGCTGGCTGGGCCTCAGGCCCTGGGTGGGAGGCAGACCCACTGAAATCTGAGAAGCAAAGTCATCCCTTCACCTGCCAAGTCCCGAGAGCTGCAAAGGAAGGCCCTGGGGCTTTCCAACCATCCCTTCACATCCGTCCCCTCATCTGTCCAGTATGGGCTGGGCCCAATGCCAGCGCCTACTGTTGGGGTCATGGGTCTGTATTTGAAGGACCTTCTGAGCCCACTCAGGTGCCCACCTGTCCTCCAGCCCTGCCTGAAAGGGCTGCATCAGGTAGGATTCTCCAGAGGCTGCTGGAGTTCCCTGCCCCGTAGCTGAGGGCGGGGAGCTGGCAGAGGAAATGTGGAGGGAGGGAGAGGCAGCGGAGGTGAGCTGGCAGGAGCTCCAAAGGATTAGGGGTGTCTTAGCCAGGCCATGTTCTGTATGTCAACTGCTTAGGCAGAAGCTGGGAGCATCTGCATGGGAGGTGACCCAGGTGTGGGTGTGCCACACACTAACCACCAGAGGATGGATATCAGCGGGAGAAACGGTGGCCTGCAGGGCAGGGCTCTGTGGGGTTTTCCCCCATTTAGATGCTTGCACCCCCTCCTCCATCTACTCCCAAACTCAAACACCAGGCAACTCTCAGAAGTTCCCTGGGACATGCTTCCAGCTGCTTCACCCTCCCCACTCAGAAAGTCCCTGCTTGGCTTCGCTGGGGTGGGTGGTGGGCAGCAGCTGGCTGCCTTGGCCCCAACAATGGCTGGCCTGTGGCTGGCTGCTGGGCCTCCGGGCCAGCTCCGCCCGCAAGCCCAGGTCTGTTGAGGTCCTCCCCGGGAGGTCTGGGGGCCCTTTCTGGGGGTTTTCCCCGAGCTGCTCCTTCCAGGCTGCCACCACCAAGCCTGATCTGCACTCTGGGATGGTGGTGGTGCGGGGGGCATTTAAATCGGCATATGGCTGGTTGGCATTAGGGGGTGTGGCAGAGGGGAGACCTGCGGCAGCTTGACCCAATTAGGGACTTGATAGAAGAATTGGAGTGGGCGCCTCTGCTCCCCAGGAACCGCTGGGCACAGCCTGGGATCTGTTTCCCACTCAACCCCCAAAACCTGTGCCAAGTGGATCGCTCAGCTCAGGAGCCAGGATCTCAAAGGGAGTGTCATTCTGCCCCACCCCACTCCCAGGGGCAACAGACCTGGAGGTTTGGGGTCTGGAGTGATGCTTCCGTGTGTGTTCCTCCGCCCTCAGCACTCTCCTACCGGGAACAGGGAACTGGAGGGGTGGAAGCGGAGCCGGCAGGAGGTAATTTGCATTTAAAGAGAAAGTGACCTTTATCGCTGGTGGTGGGGTAAGATGGGAGAGAGTCTCCACATTTATTATGCTGTTCCTCTCAAGACTTTACCTCCTCACCTGAACAAGGTGGCTACGATGTTGTGTGATGGCAATCTAAAAATCCTTTCACTTTCCCATCTGTTTTGGAGAGAAACTATAGTCTCACAAAATGGTGGTGGCTTTGTCAGGAAGAAGAATGCAGAGGGAAGAGAGGGAATGTGAATGGACATATATAAAAGCATGGACGAAGCACCAGGGCAGCAGCAACAGGAAGAAACTGGGAGAAGACATGATCCATCAAGTGAGTCCAGGACCCCTTTAAGCACTTTATGGTCATTTAACCCTCATCACAGCCCTGGCGGAAGATCCCGTCATCGTCTCCTTTTACCAACAGTCAACAATAGTCTTTTGAGGGCAGTGGCACTCCTCCCACAACACCAGACACTGCTCGCTGGTACAGCGCTGGGGGCTGTACTCAGTCACTGATGAAGTGACAGGACAGGCCCACCCCCAGGCCCAGGAGACCTGGGAGCTGGGCATCGGTGAATGGAAACCTGGCGTTTGACTGCAGGCCTGGAGGCTGACACACTTCCCCACCCCCTGCTGCCCCAGGAGATCAGTGGGGCAGCTATTTAAAGACCTGGCAGAGGCTCCCAGCTCAGGTCCTCAGAGAAGCATCTGATGCAACAGGAGACAGGCTGCCCTACAGGCTCAAATAGCTGCCCTGGGCAGTGCACACAACTGCTCCCACCCACCGTCCTCTCCCGAGGGGCCGGGGCAGCGTCCCTGGGCCTGGCCTCCGGCTGAGTTAGGGAGGGACGAGGCGCTGTTTCAGCAGGCTCCCCAGCAAGGCTCTTTGCCAGGTGCTTTCAATGCCCAGACTGCTCCTGAAGGGAAGACATTACTAGTAGGTCAGGACTTGTTCGATAAGCAGGGATCTGAGACGGGCCTGCACAGGCAGACAGGACAGCTGGAAGGCCCCCTCCTCCCTTATAGAACTGCAGGAGTGGCACCAGGCTCCTGTGGGAAAGTGGCAGAGGGCCCGGGAGCACCTCTAGGGTGGTAATACTTAGAGCTGCTTTGCTCAGAGCTCCCAGTTGAGGCGGTCTCCCCTGACCCCCTCCAAAGGATCTTTGGAACCAACGTGGCCAGCACAGAAAAATATCAACCCATTAGAACCCTGACTGGAAGGGGCAGGGGCTCTGTGGGGACTGTTACACAGGGTGGACACATCTACTTGTGGAGACGTGGAGGGAAGGGCACTTGGTTTCTGTCATTGGTTGGCCATTCATATATGGTCCTTTGTGATGAACAGCCCAGGCCCCAGAGAGAACAGGTGCTGGGTGAGACATCCAGCATGTGTCCCATATAGGAGCTTGGGGTGGGTGAGCAGGAGTGTATAAGAAACCAGTTCATTCTTTTTTTTTTTTTTTTTTTTTTTTTTTTTTTTTTTTAAATCTCACCGGAGGATTTTTACTGAGAGAAAAAAGGGAAACATTAATCAGTTGTCTCCTGTATGCACCCTGACCCCGACCAGGGACTGAACCCACAATCTTTGGTGCAGGGGGATGATGCTGCAACCAATGGAGCCACCCAGTCAGGCTGAAACCAGTTCATTCTTAAGAACTATATGCAGACTGTGGTCAAAGAACACACAAAATCAAAGGAAAGGGACCTGGAGGTCCCTGGTGGGCTGGTGCCAAGAGATGTTGCCCATGGCAGACAGCCCAGATAGTAGTGATGCCACTTGTCTAATCTGGACCTCACCATGTGCCTAGCTTTCTGTTGCCCTTGATTTTGCATTCCTATGGGCCCTCCCTGAAGACCTTCAGTGGGTCTCCCTGGATATAGCCCAAATCTGGCACACCGGCTCTTGGTGACTTATTTGGCCCCTGCATCATCTCTTCCACCCCTTCCAGGGCACCTGCATTGAACCACTGTTACTAAACAAGGGGTGGGGAACGTCCGGCCTGCAGGCTGTATAAGGCCCATGAAATAAGTTGGCATGGTCCTGCCAAGGCAATCATAGGCAGAACTCAAAATTCAACAAATCTAAGAGCTTTTGTCATAGCAACACAAATGTATATTAAGTGAATTATATTAAGCAAATGATATAAATATGCAAATGACCCTTAGCAAAAAAAGGTTCCCTACCTCTGTACTAAATGGTTATCGAACTTCTACCTGCTCCTTGGGCCATAGGCCCTTCCAGGTATCCACCCCTATTCTCTTGCTGAAGGGGACAGGGCCTTCTTCCTCTTTGGTCCCATAGGACAACCACCCCTTCCACATCCGAACATCCCTTTTCCCCTCACCAGCCTGTGAGCCCTCCGAGGGTAGGGCCAATTTTTGACTTTGTGAGAATCATTTCCGGTGCTCCCACACATATGTGTATCATGTCAGCTTTGCCAAGGGCTCCACTTGGGCAGCTCCAGTGAGTCTGTATCCTGAGCTGGAAGGGAGGGAGGGCACTCTGGAAGATGCAGGGTGTCAGGGCACAGCCAGACTTGGCAGAAGATCCAGACAAATCACTGATGGCTGGATGGATTCACAAGTCTGAATGACCACAAAGGTCAGGACAGAAGCAATAAGGCAACAGACTCTTTATTTAATAGGGTTTAAAATACATCAAAATCAAGTCCCTGGCTGTTGTGAATACCAAAATGAGACAAAAAAAAACCAACAAAAAAAACCTGTCAGCACAGCTTCAAACAAATCTGGGAGGCCAAGGTGGGCCATAAGGGAAGCAGTTAGAGACAGACGGCAGCACCCCTCCCCCAGGAGGTGGGTACCTGGCTGTCCCTGGGGTGACCTTCTGTGCTGTGCAAGGTGGGAGGGCTGGGGCAGCTGGAGAATCAGCTCAGCAGGCCTTGGCCCTCCCCTAGACACCAGGGCAACCACAGTTGGGGTAGAGGAGGGAAAATAACCATCTTTACAGACATAACATTCTCTTACAGAAAAAAGTGCCTGAGCTCAGCCCATGGTCCAAAAACCTCATGGAAAACAAACAAGAAAGTGCTGTTGACACCTCTTAGAATCTGGTGTACATGACGCTCTCAGCTGGACAAGGTCTGAACACAACTACTGTCAGCAGAGCCAAGGGCTCTGGGCTGTGAGCCTCGCCTGCTGTGGTCCCCTGGAGGAAAAGCTAGCAGTCCAAGAAACCAACACAGCTCTTGGTCCTAGAACTGAGGTCATGTGCATGGGACCTGCCCTAGAGAGGAAGGCACTGGCCTTCAGAGAGGCCACATCCCCTGCATCTGGCCCAGGCTCCTGGCTGGCAGCACCCAGGTACCTGGGCTGACTTTGGAAAGCGGAGCAAGCAGAACAGCTGTAGTGATTACGATTTGGTCAATGGAGTTAGAGGAATGGGATCCCTACCTACAGCCTGGCCAGGATGCCCAGAGCTGAGAGCAACGGTTCCACCCTGCCCAGGGCCTATTATTTCTGACCCGGAAGCCCAGCTGAGGCCACCTTGCTCCCTGTAGCTCCACTTGGTTTCAGAGAGCTGTTGTGCTGAGTTCCCACCCCATCACACTGGGCTCCCTCCCCGCTAACCCCATGGGCCTTAAGAGGTAGGTGAAGTGAGGCAGGCAATCATGTGGGCTATTGCAGGTCTACCTGATCTTTAAAGAGGTGGGCAAAAGCTTCTGCCCCCTCCCAATGCTTCCACAGCCCAGCAAACCCTGTATGGGGCAGTTTTTGAGTACCTCAACCCGGCATGAGTGAGGGAGCCTTACTGGAACAGGAAGAGGCATGTTCAGGGACCAATCTAGACACACCCATTTCAGAGGGGAAGACACTTCTCCACAGGAGAGCAATATCTCAGCCAGGGATGGCAAACAGGTCTCAGCACTGGCTGCTGAGGGAACTTCAAGAAATGAAATACCAAGAATGAGCAGGAAAAACTCTGAACAGAGACTAGTGGTACCTACTATGGAGCAGAGGAATGGTGTACCTTTCACTTGCCATCTCTGGTCAAAGCCAGAACAAGGAGTACTTAATACTCTTCATGAACCTATTTTATAAGAGGGATTTAAGGGCTGAAAGCATGGGCTAGTTGTGCAAGATGAAAGAACCTATATGATAATGAATTAGCTTTAAGAAAATACAGCATCAGCTCAGCCATTTCACCCACCTTGGTCCGTGGCTCCCTCAGCTACAGAAGCCCAGGCCCCGCTGGAGAGGGGACAGTCCCCAAGCCCAGCAGAGCTCTGCTTCCTGATCCAAGGCTCATCTGTTGTTCCAGAAAATTGCTCTGTATTACGGTGGCCTAATACCTTAGGCAAGTTGGCAACCAGCGGAACTTTATAGAGGAACATGTAAGGGGAGGGGATTATGGGAGTATCTGCAGCCACTTTGTGGATTTCTGGGGGTTAGTCAATTCTCATTCTTATCCATCAATTGCCAGACAAGAGCTGGGGCCCCCACACAGGAAGAAGTAGGATATCGAGGACACTCAGCTCTTACTCCTTGGACAATGGAACCAGAGCAAATCTCAAGGACTGCACAGTGGGGATGGGGGCAGGAAGCAGAAACAGACCCATAAAGCCACCGGGAACAGCTGCTCCTGGGGCCTAGCGACTGCTACATGGAGGCAGTGGTGATGGCATTGGTGGTGGCCTTCCAGGATTGAAACCCATAGGATTCAAACTCCTTTCCTTTCTCCCACAATCTGATCTCATCAAACAGGAACCTAAGCACCACATGACAGAAGTGCTGGGTGGGGTGGAGAGGGGGGTGAGGCACTGGAAGCCAGGAACCCAGGCACCACCTCTGGAGTATTCCTCCTCCCTCCTCAGAAGACCCTCCATACAAACACTGTCACGTGCAACAAAAACAAAAAAAACCTTCCGAAAGAATCCTTTGGGTGATCCCATCAATCATTTGTGCAGGCTAGAGAGGCACCTGTGAATGATAAGGCTACTGAGAAGCATCACTGGCCTGGTCCTGGCACTACCGCAGGGCAGGGGAAGCAGTGCCGAAAGGGCTCCCTACCAGCACATCATCCTACACAGAACATTCTTCAGGTTCCTTGTCTGAGGCAGGAAAGTGGTTTGATCACCAGCTCTGAGTGCCCTGCCAAGGCTCTGTCTGGGGACCCCTTTCCTGGTTAAGAAAAGCAAAGAAGCGTCCAGAGGAGCTAGGAGAGCCAGAGCTGCCAAAGCCCTGCCAACAAGAGAAACGCAGTCAGGCCTGGGTGTGTCACTTGTCATGATCCCTGAAGGGCAGGGAGGGGAGGGGTCTAAGCCTCATGTCAGGCAGAGAAATGTTCAAGTCACTGTCCTGCCAGGTCACTGAAGGAGGCTACAGATGACGACTCCGCTTCGACTCTTCAGCTCACAGAAGAGCCACTGCCTTCATCTGTACACACCCGCTCTGCATCCAGTGCAAGCCTATTTTACACTTAGAGAAATAAATGTATGAGGCCTTGCACATGTCATATGTACGTGAAGCTGACCCATGAAATTCAAACTGCAGTGTCATATGCCAGCCAGGTCAGAGCACCCTGGGCCTCAGCACTGGACTACTTAGCAGTGGGAGCCTTGCATGAGCCAGGCCTGGCTGGGCTGCTTGCTCCCTTCCCAGCATGCCCCTAGTGCCAGGCTCCCTAGGCGGTGGTGGAGGTGGGCTCCTGGGACCCTGTTTGGCCTGACGCTTCTGTGCTTGGTGCTCCGGGGCAGCAGGGAGCTTCTGTGGCTCCTGTAGAGCTAGGTGCTTGGACCCCGGACCCCTCGCCACCCTGCTCTTTGGAGGCAGTGGCAGCCTCTGGCCTTTGCTCAGGGCCGCTGTCAGTGAGGGGGCTCTGGCCACCAGCACTCAGGTCCTGTACCCTCTTGTTCAGATCGTTGCGCTCTGTCTGCAGCGCCCGGCACAGCTTCTCCAGCCGCTGGATTTTCACCTGCAGGCCCTCAAGCTCTTTGTCCCGGAGGGTTTTCTAGGGAGAGAAAGGGGGCTTTTCAGTGTCATGCCATCGATCCTCCACCTGCCACTGCCACTTGGTAGAAAACATTCACACTTTAACAACGCTGGGAGCAGACTGGAGTCCAAAGCTGGCCCCTTTCATGTGAACAGCCCTGGTTTATGCCAAGGCCTGGCTGTCAGTTGAGGGCAATGTGGTGTAGGGGAGGGGCATGGCTTAGAGACCATGTATTTCTCCATATATCTACCAGAAGACCTTGGCAAAGTACTTGGTTTTGTAGCCGATCTCCTGATCTGTTAAACTCGTCTACTAACATCAACCTCACAGATCTCAAGGGAAGGTTCAATGAACTGGCACAGCACAGACATTCAGCAGGTCTGGCTGCAGTAGCTACTCTAGCATAAAGTTACTTTCCTCTCCTACATCTCAAGTCACAAAATCAAATGATCGGGGCCACTCCACATACAAACTACACACATCATTGGCACCATTTGTTTTTCTTGTTCCTTATTCTTTTCTTCCATTTATTCCCTTTGCTTCCACTGCAGGCCTATGACTGGGTTCACCACCTCCCCTGGGGAGAGCTGGCAGTGCCTTGGACTTGGACAGACGTGCCCAGCTCCACCTCATGCCAGCTGCATCACTCACTGCTAGAACTACAGAAAACGGCCTGGTACTCAGTAACTGCACACCCCAGCCCTGGCTGCAGAGTGCACTCAGCCCACCTCTTCAGCCATCTCCAGCAGGGCCTTGTTGCTGCTTTCCCACCGGGACCGGTACATGGTGGTTTCTTTCTCCAGCTTCTTGATCTTCTTAGTCATCTGGGTTATGTGACAGGCAGAGGAAATGGTCAGGGCACAAGCTGTTTGCATCTGTGTCCCCAAGGTGGGGCAACAGTCCCATGGCAGCAGGCAAGGCAGTACAGGACACAGCCAGTGCTTCCGGTGCCACCTTAGGACCTCTCAAGTTAAATGCCCACTGCCAATAACAGGAAACGGCAAGGCAGTCCCTTCTCCAGGACAACCCGGAAGGTGAGGGAGGAAAGGGTGTGATTCCTTCTTACAGTCCCTCCCTTGGTCTCAATCACACTGTTACTGTAAACAGCTCTCAGTGAGGCACCACATTCTGAATGAAGCAGCTTGTGCCCCTGCAGCCATACCCAGCCTGGGCCAGTGTTACCTTTTCCATCTCCTGTTTGAATGTGGTGAACACCTCACTGCTTTTGGAAAGAGTGTTCTGGAACTCCTCGAACTTCTCCGTGTATAGGGCAAGCTGGGCGAGAAAGAAGCCCACAGTTAAGACCGAACTTCCCTAGAGGGCACTTCTGGTCCATACACTCAGACCCATGCTTGGCCCTCTGACCCAACAATTCCGAGATCCCATTTTTCTTCATGTAAGCCTAGAAAGTAGGATTTGGGGTGACATGTTTTTTTTTTTGTGTGTGTGTGTGTTTTTTTATGTTTGTCTTCAAATGTTTCTTCCAGAATTACATATAATTTATAGAATTAAAACCAACCATCTGTCCCCAACCCCTCAAAAGCAGCACAACTTCCAACTAGGAATGAAGTCCTTCAAGCTCACCTAGCCACCTGGTCACCACCACACAGGTGCTGGGCGGGTCCAGAGAGAACAGACTCAGCAAGGTCATATAGCAGTCAAGGTAGTCCTAGAATGAGGGTCCCATTGCCCTGCCCCCAGGACGGGTCCCAATGAGGAGACCTTGAAGGCACAGGGTCAAGATACACACAGTCTCACCTGCTGCTTCAGGTGGGTCTCCTGCTGCTTCATCAGCTCACACATCCTCTGGGACTCCACTGCCTCTTTGAGGAGCTATTTCCAAGATAGGACATAAGACCTCGTTAGAAGCCCCAAGGGGCTCTGTGTGTTTTTTGCCAAACACACCAAAACCCACTGAAGTGTCCTGCTCTGGCCAGCACCAACGTTTCCCACACAAACGTGACTATGAGCTAAGCCAGAACCCAACCCTCCTCTTCCAAGACCCCCCAACCCCAGAGCCTGAGCCTCACAAAATCCTTCTCCCGCTGGTGCCTCTCCTCTGCCTCCTTCAGCATCTCCTGGGCCTGCTGGAGCTTGGCGTCCACCAGCTGCTGCTGCAGGTCCTTGTGTTTGAAGACTTTGTCGATATGCTGCAGGAAAGCATGGTGGGAGGGGTCCACCTGTTAGGACCTGCCTTTCCCTTTCTCAGAGAGGCCGGCCTAATGGCTACAGACTCCAGGGCTCCCTGCCCAGCCTCCCATCTCAATCTGATATGCTGGACTCCCATGTGTACCATAGGACATGGGCCCCACGTCCCTGGAAAGCCTACTGTCCAACCTCACCTTATTTCTCTCCCACTGAGTCAGTCCTGGGTGAGCATAGGGGCTATGGATGAAATCAGCTTCCAGGAAGTCAATAAATACTCAAATCTCCAGCCCCAAGAGAGACCAATCCATGGGGCTCACAACCCTCACTTTTATAGCCTGACTCCCTTGTAAGGGGGAAGAAAGGGCAAAAATGACACCTCTGCCAACACAACAGCTTAGCTCTATTGGCAGAGCTCTGCTCAATCTATAGGTGAAGATTTGATATTGCAAGAAATAGCTGTCCTAACTACAGGAGGAGCCCTGGGAACCGGGACGGGTGAGAGAAGGTGATGAACTCAAGTGCTACAAAAAAAAAAAAAAAGGGATGTAGGGGAATTGTGTTTTTTGAATGAGGAAGGGAAGGTGGCTTGGGGATGTGTCCAGTTTGGGACATGAATTTCAGTCTCCTGTGATCTGAAGTGCAGAGGCTCAGAGGGGGCAGGATGGCAGTGCCTGATTCTGACTGGGGGTGGGGTGTAAATGAGGAGCATAGGGCCTGGGGCCCACAGCTCTACCTCTGCAGGTAGTACCAAATCTATTTTGCCTTGGTGGGAAACAGGTGGGGGGTGGGGTGCAGGAGGGGGAAGTCCTCAGGTTTTGAAGTAGGTGCCTCACTCTGGTGGCTCAGTAAGCCTCCATGTCTTTCAGTTCTGTAGGACAGGAACCAAACCAACTCCTCTCAAACCACATGCATCACAAGCAGCCTTGTTCCCAGAGGAGGCCCCTCCAGGCCCTGCATACAATGATTGCCACACTGGACTGTCCCACCTATCACCTATCACCACACCTCCAGGGCCTAGGAAGGGGTCTGGTCTGGGACTGTAAGGTAGCTGGCAGTCTCTCTTTTCACAAAGAAACAGAGGCCCAGAAAAGCCAAGCATGTGAAGACCCCAAGAGAGGGACTCTGGTGACTGGGGCAGAAGAGCAGCAAGGAATCAGAGGACGTAGCCTTTAGAGTAGATCACTGACCCTAGGTCTAGCTCCTCCCCTGGGATTTCAAATTCTAAAAAATTCTGAAAACTGACATTGTCAGAAGTTGGCAGACAAACATGACCTGTACCTTTGTATGGCTAATTATAATGTAGGTGAGGATACTCACAAGTTAAACTGCGTAAATATTTTATTTTTGAAAAATATATTTTATTGATTTTTTACAGAGAGGAAGGGAAAGAGATAGAGTTAGAAACATCAATGAGAGAGAAACATTGATCAGCTGCCTCCTGCACACCTCCCACTAGGGATGTGCCCGCAACCAAGGTACATACATGCCCCTGACTGGAATCGAACCTGGGACCTTTCAGGCCGCAGGCCAACGCTCTATCCACTGAGCCAAACCGGTCAGGGCATAAACTGCGTAAATATTAATGTGTCTGATTTGGGGGCGCGTGCAAGAGGCAGCCAATCAATGATTCTCTCTCATCATTGATGTTTCTATCCCTCTCTCCCTCTCCCTTCCTTTCTGAAACCAATCAATCAATGGATACTGAAAACTCTTAAAAAAATAAAAAATAGAATAGGAGAATGGAATGAAGCCCGAAAAGTGCTGTCCCAGTGCCTGCCACACCCACACCCTCCAATTCCCTGGCCAAGGTGCTGTCCACAACACCTCACCTCCTCTCGCAGCTCATACTGCTCAATCAGCTTCTTCAGCCTCTCAGCCAGCTCCATGTTCTCCTGGCGCAGCTTGGAATTGCGCTCATTGTGCTGTTCCATCTGTAGCTGAATGTCATTCAGCGTCACCTGGAAGTGCGAGGTCACCTCCTTGCGTTTCTCCTCCTCTTCCCGGGCCCGCTGCACGCCTTCTTCCTGGGCAGGGAAGTCAGACCCAGTTCCATCATCGATTGCTCCCCAGCCAGCCTCGCAAGGCTCCTCCCCCTGCCACCCAACTAGCCCGGGATGGGCTCTATCAATAGTCCTCCCTGCTCTCAAATTGATGAATAGCCAGGCTCCAAGATGTCAAGGAATGGGGGCTCCTAATGGACCCTTCTGTATCTCAGGTGGCAACAAGTGAGAGAGCCTCTCCCTAGAAAATGCAGGCATCCTTGTTAAGAGCCGTTCTAAAGAACTCTGGATCTCCTAAGCCTATGCTTCCAGACTTATAAAGTAGTCTCTCTTTTTTTTTTTTTAGTGAATTTTTAGAGAGAGGAAGGGAAACAGGGAGGGAAGTGGGAGGGAAAGGGAGAGAAATATCGATTTGTTGTTCCACTTACTTAATGCATTTATTGGTTGTGTCTTGTATGTGCCCTGACCGGAGATCAAACCCACACCCTGAGGTATTGGGACAGGCTCTAAGTAACTGAGCTACCTGGCTGGGCCTTAATAGTCTTGTTTTAATGTGCTTTCATATTTGACAGCCACCCCCCACATACCATCAAGTAGTTATGATTCAGAAATACCCAGGTTTGGCAAAGTTGTTCAGAATTAGGCACTCAGACACAGTTAGTGGGAAGGCAATCTGGACATATCACTTCTGAGATTTATCTTAGATAAATTCTGTGTAATTAGACAGGGACATATGTAACAAGAATTTTCACTAACTCTATATACTAGAGAACCGGTGCATGAAATTCATGCATGGGTAGGGTCCCCAGGCCTGGCTGGCGACCAGTGCTGATCTGCAGGGCGACTGGTGGGGTGATTGGGAGCCCCCTCCCCTCCGTGGCTGGCCTATGGGCAGCTCCTGCATTGAGCATCTGCCCCCTGGTGGTCAGTGCACATCATAGCAACTGGGCGTTCGGCTGTTCAGTCAATTTGCATATTAGGCTTTTGTTATATAGGATAATAGTAAAAAATTGGAAGCTACCCAAAAATACCTTAATGAGGACAGGAATAAAATGCAATATACCCATATAATGACATTGCTGAAAAGAATGAGATAGCTCTATGTATAACGACAGGGAGGAAAGATAAAGCGTTGTGTAAAGTGAGAAAATGGAATAGGATATGGAAAAATACATGTATAATATTTTTACTTAAAAAACTGTATGTAAGATTTTCTATGTAGATAGGAAAGTTAAAAGGTTGTACTTAAACTTACATATTAGTAGGTTTACTTCCCAGCAGTTTCTGCTGGCCACTGGGGTTGAGGACAGTGGGTGACTATTACCTTTGACTTGTTAACTTTTATCATCTTACATCAAACACATTAAATTTATAATGTTTTAAAAGACAAATTAAAAACGAGCAAAGCAAGTTGCAAAATACCATATATTTACTGATCCAAATTGTATGACCTGGAGGTCACAGCAGTGACCAGGCTTTAACCAGTGACCCCACCCTAGGAAAGGCAGAACAAGGAGAAAGGACCCACATTCCTGACTGACCAACACCGGGACAAGAGCTGCTGGTCAGCACTGGACCCCAGCTTACCTGGGGACTATGATGGAGTTGAGAACTCCTGAAGGCAAGCACTCTGGGTTCTTTGATTCTTAGCCTTTACCTTCCCTACTACAAGTACATTTCAAATGGTTAGAAGTAGTTCTTGCTAATCAGGGCATTACTGGGGAAATCTACTTCTGTACTGAAAACCTGCGCTAGTTTTTAAGGGAAAAGCCGCCAAAGATAAGTGGAAGTTAAGGGAACCAATTGTCCATCTTAGGGGGCCCAGCCAGCCTACCTTGAGGGAACGGTTGTGGCGCTGCAGCTCGCGGCACAGGCTCTCGAGCTTGCTGCGGGCCAGGATGGCCTTGCTGTGCTCACCGCGCAGGTGGTCCTTCTCCTGCACCAGCTGGCTCTGCTTCTTCTGCAGGAGCTTCATCTGCTTCTGGGAGTTCCGATGTTCCTCCAGCTGGGACCGGAGGGCAGGTAAGTACCCTGGGAGGCTCTTCCCATGGGGATCCAGGGTCCCCTGGGCTGACCTAACCCGGGCCCTCTCCCCCAACTCCAGCCATAACAGCTCAGGCCGGACACTGTGCGGGCACTCCATTTGCTCCTCACAATAACCCTTAGGGCCCCCATACCTCAAGGATACAGAAATGGACACTCAGATAGGACAGAAGCACACAGCCAGCAGATCCCAGTTTCTCTCCCAGTTCTCAGACCACTACATTCCCCCAATTCAGGGGACACTCATGCCCTCAGATGAGATCACCTGCTACTCCTCTTTGTCTTACACTTAACAACACATCCAGATTCAGAGTAGTCACATTTCAATCGGCAACTCTGTCATCACTCAGAACTGCATCCACCTCCAAGATCTCATCCCAAGCCAGGACCACCACGTATCTTCCAAGCTCATCCTCTCCAATCCATATCTGAGGTCTCAGGTCTACTACCCTATTGACCTTCAAGCCTTTGAACCAACCACTCTTTCACTTTCCTTTAAATAATCTCTTTCTCACTCAGCTTAAATTCCTTATGCCCTCATCGCTTTTGCTCTCTTTTCCCAGAAAAATTCCACTTTATTTACAGGAACTAAGGAGCTAAAGGAACAAGCTAAATGCCACCACAAAGCTAGAACAGGACAACTGATCTGCAGGGCAGATCGATGAAAACTGCTTTGGAGTAAAGGAGGGAAAAAGTCGTAACAACACAACGTAATAAATGTACCTCCTTTGGATCCTGATTTGATCAAAGTGACATTTTTAAACAACTGGGGAAATCTGACTACAGACTGGGTATTAAGAGAAAATCAAATGATTAATGTTGTTGCACTGGGATGTACAATTTCTCTTCTTACTGTACTGCCAGACCGAAAGGTGGCTGGGACTAGACCCCCCCCCCCAGTCAGATACGGAAAAGGCTGAGAGAGGTTGAACAGAAATTAAGCCACCCACCTGCCCTTGTACCCTCAACCCCATACTGGGTGGCCTGCTGATGTTCCGAGGCAGAGAGGGTGCAAGGAGAAGGGGGAGAACTGACCAGTTCAGCATACTTCTTGCACAGAGCTGCCAGCTTCTCCTCTGGGGTACTCAGTGTGTTCAATGTCTGCATCAGTAATGTGATCTCCTTTCCTGCAAAGTACAGGGAACAAAGGCATGTACCCCTTTCTCTGGGAGTCCCCTCCAGGCCTGGGCCCACTATCGTACTTTACATTTCTGTTTGTTGAACTGGCTGCCTTTCCTGCTACTCTGTGTGCTTCATGAGGTCTGCAACCAACTCAATTCTGCCTACCAATGCAGCTCAGTGCTGTCCCTAGTGGCCCTCGCTGAGGACATGCTCAACAAATACTTATTAAATGAATGACTGGCCCTAACCGGTTTGGCTCAGTGGATAGAGCATCGGCCAGCAGATCGAAGGGTCTGGGGTTCAATTCCAGTCAAGGGCATGTACCTGGGTTGCAGGCTCCTCCCTGGTCCAGGCCCTGGTCAGGGCTTGTGCAGGAAGCAACCAATCGATGTGTTTCTCTCACATAGATGTTTCTCTGTGTCCTTCCCTCTCTTCTACTCTCCCTAAATATCAATAGAAAAATATCCTCGGGTGAGGATTAACAACAACAAAAACGAATGACCGAATCTCTGTGGAATCTCCTTGGTGAGCACCAGGAATGGGAGAAAAAAACAACTACCTGCTCTACCAACAGGTTTAAGAAAGGTGTTCCTGCCCGGCCAGCATGGCTCCATGGCTGAGCATCAACCTGTGAACCAGAATGTCACGGTTTGATTCACATACCCGGTTGCGGGCTTGATCCCCAGTAGGGGGCATGCAGGAGGCAGCCCATCCATGATTCTCTCACATCATTGATGTTTCTCTCTCTCTCTCCCTCTCCCTTCCTCTCTGAAATCAATAAAGATATTAAATATGTGTGTGGCCCTGGCTGGTTTGGCTGAGTGGATAGAGCATCGGCCTGTGGACTGAAGAGTCCTGGGTTCGATTCCAGTCAAGGGCACATGCCTGGGTTGCGGGCTTGATTCCCGGTGGGGGGCATGCAGGAGGCAGCCAATCAATGATTCTTTCTCATCATTGATATTTCTATCTCTCTCCCTCTCCCTTCCTCTCTGAAATCAATAAAAATATGTTTTTAAAAAGCCCTAACCGGTTTTGCTCAGTGGATAGAGCATCGGCCTGCGGACTGAAAGGTCCCAGGTTCGATTCTGGTCAAGGGCATGTACCTTGGTTGCGGGCACATCCCCAGTAGGGTGTGTGCAGGAGGCAGCTAATCAATGTTTCTCTCTCATCGATGTTTCTAACTATCCCTCTCCCTTCCTCTCTGTAAAAAAATCAATAAAATATATTTTAAAAAAATGTGTTTGTGTGTGTATATATATCTGATCTATGAATTCAGTACTACTGTTTCAATGCAAGGAATTCCCCTCTGAAATAGAAAGGATGCAAAAAGGAACAGGTCTCCTTGAGAATTATGAAAGTCTTTATATATATATATATATATATATATATATATATATATATATATATATATATTATTGATTTTTTAAAGAAAGGAAGAGAGAGGGGTAGAGAGTTAGAAACATCGATGAGAGAGAAACATCAATCAGCTGCCTCCTGCACACTCCCCCCACAGGGGATGTGCCCACAACCAAGGTACATGTCCTTGACCGGAATCGAACCTGGGACCCTTGAGTCTGCAGGCCGACGCTCTATCCACTGAGCCAAACTGGTCAGGGCAAGAATTATGAAACTCTTATCAACAGAAGTAGCCAAACAGGGAACTTAAGACACAATAGCCCTCTACTTCCACCCTCACCCAAATTACTTTCCTGCAATGCCTGTGCCTGAGTCAGACTCTTCCCTCTGTCTCCCTGGAGGGCCACTGTACATAGCACAGCACTAGACTTCTGCAATGGCAACCCTGGGAGGCTCCAAGAGAGACTGCAAATCACTGGCACAACGGGCCAAACCCAACCCACAGATAGGTTTTGTTTGGCTCCTAGCATACCAATTGCCAACTGTTAAAAATCTAGAGATTGCACATAACTCTGGTTGGGTTTTTTTTTTTTTTTAAAGGAAAACTAGACTTAGCCTGTAGTTTTACATGCTATCAACTTGCTGGGACCAGGTGGCAGTAACCCTTGGATGAAGTGGGCACTTTCTTGGCTAGCTTGGCTTATTTGAGTTCTCAACCCTGGTCTAGTCCACTTCTCTTACTGTAGAGAAGTGACAGCTAAGGACGAAAAAGGGGAAAGGCCTTGCCTAAGGTCGCACAGATGAGAAATGGTGCTGACTGGCACAGGAGTCCCCCCAGGTCTCCTGCTCCCCATTTTCTCAGAGAGCAGGTTGGATTTCGCTTCTCACTTGCTCCCAAGGCCAGAAGTCCCTGTGCAGTGAACAACCTGCACACCTCTATGCTACGGCCCCACAGCCCTGGCTGTGATTAAGCTGGTGTGGCCGCTGCACTGGGAAGCAGGGTTTACTCCGAATCCTAGCAGAGCAGGCTAGCCCAAAGAAGGTCAGGTCCAAACACCCTCCCCTCACCAGCCTCACAAGTAGTTGCCCTCTGCTCACCCAGACCCTTGGCTTTCTTCTTCTCTTGTGGCCTTCGGTGGTCTCGGTCTCCCATCTCATCACTTGCCCGGATCTCGTCTGTGCCTGGCTCCCCCTTAGAGGTCTTCTCACCATTGACTACTGGGATCTCTGGCTCAGGCTCCCCATTCCTCGAGGCATAGGTCCGGGACTTCTCTGCATCGTCAGGTTCCACAGGCTCACCCTGGGCACCATCCTCACCTGGGCCCCCCTGATTGTTGTCCACACAGTATGTACTCAGGATGTCTTCCAACTGGCGGCTCAGCTCCTCTGAGACATCACGGAGGGCCCCAGGCCGAGAGCCTTTGGCCTGTGCTCCTACAGGAGGAGGAAGGGCAGAATGTGAAATGAGAAGGTGATACCACTGGTTGGGATTTATTCAGGCCCAAACTTACTGGTTTGGATTAAATGTGGCCTAACTTCTGTAAGCCTCAGTTTATTTACCTATAAAATGAGAGGAGTATTTCTTTTCTGAGTATAAAAGAAATCCGGTAAAGCCTTCCGCACAGAGGGATGGCATGTAGCAGGAGCTCAATGTCTAATCCACCCCCTTCTCCTCCTAGTGACCATCATTTCTTGATAGTAAAAAAGTTCCGGAAGTGCCTCCACTATGAAGAGCAGTTACCCCCTGGCACAGGAGGCGTTTCCAACCTGGACTTGCAAGCTGGTGTCTCGTTTGACTGCTCGGGATTTCATCCCGCCAGAGCCTTCTCCCAAGAGCTCTTTCTGCTCCTGTGCTTAGCGCCCAAGGCTCTCCTATCTCCCAGACCCGCACTTCCCCGCCCATTCTAACTTCCTTCTTTCTGGGTCCACAGGGGCCTCTACCTCCAGAAGCTAGACTGGCGCACCGCAAGCTCCTCCCCCGGCCCGCAGGGAAAGCAGGGCTGGCACACACCCTCCGTCTTCCCGGGAGTCTGGCGGGCGGAACCTTCGGCTTGTGCCGCGGAGGCCGCCCGGCTGGGCAGCCCCTGGGCTCCGGCTGGTCCGGCTTCCACTTGCCCCGGGTTGCTTTTTGGGTTGGAAGTGTGGCCTGATTGCTTGGCAGCCCCGTTCTTTTTGTCTTGGTTCTTCATTGTGGTTGCAGTGCGAGGCGAGGAGCCGATCCTATAGAAACAAGCACACTCGCTATTTCCCAAGCCTTCGGAATTCTTCTCAGCCTGGATCGGAATTCCCGATACCGGATGCACCAAGCTTCTAAACACAAACTGGCCGGCCTGCCCCGGCGGTAACCCTCGGTTCCCTCCGTCTCCGGCGGGTCAGGGGAGCCTGGTGTGCACAGGCAGGTGGTCGGGGCGCTGCTCCGGGCGCAGGGGAAGAAAGGCCTCCTTCTCCCTGAGTCCTCTTCCCGACACAACGCGGGCCCCGCAGGCTCCGCCGAGCGCGGGATAGGTTCCCGGCCGGTGACTGACGTGGCGGGACGCTCGATTCCTGGCCTCTCCCCCGCCTCCCGGGCCCCACATGGGCCTCCCTCCCACCCCCCGCGCGCACAGCCACCCACGCCCCGCGAGCCGCCCGCTCTCAGCCACCCGCGCACGCGCAGAGGCCTCAGCCCTGCCCTCCGGCCCGAGCCCTCGCGCGGAATCTGCGTGACTCTTCCCACTGACCGAAAGCGCTCAGGCCTACGGGCCCTCTGATCGCCTCCTCCCTCCAGCCGCCACGGGACGGACCCCACAGCCGACGTCCTCACGGCTTCGCCCCCGGTAGCCGCGCACCGGAAACCCGGGTAACCGCTGCCGGCAGAGCCGCCTGCTCCCCGCAGCCAATCAGTAGCCGGCTCTCGCGCGGGGCTTGCTGGGAAAGATGAAGAGACGCGGCCTCTGAGGCGGGCAAGCTGGGAAGGCGGGGGCAGGGAAAAGACTACACGTCCCTCCATGCACCGGGGATGACCCTCCACTCCCAGGATACAATAGGAAGGGCTTTAGCTCTAGGTGCCAGAAACTCAGGAGGTCCGGAAGGAGCTGGTCATTCTGCGCAACGACTCACGTCAAGCTTGTTTCTCTCGCTCAGAAGCTGTGATTCAGCCCCAAAAGCCTTGCGCCTGAATCTTCTTTCTTGCACGCTCCCACCAACACTTCCCCCATGCTGTGAACATGTATGACCGTCTGGGAAACTTGTATTGCAGTCCCAACTCCATCATGAATTTGCTACCTGACTGGGCATTCTTTTCTCTCCTCAGGACTCAATTTCCGTACTCAGGTGGAAGCTTTCAGTAACAATAGTAGTTCTCTGAGTGCTTACGATGTGCATATATATATGTAAATATATATTTGATTTCAGAGTGGAAGGGAGAGGGAGAGAGAGAGAGAGAAATATATATCAATGATGAGAGAGGATCATTGACTGGCTGCCTCCTGCAAGCCCCCTACTGGGGATCAAGCCCACAACCCAGGCATGTGCCCTTGACCAGAATCGAACCTGGGACCCTTCAGTCCGCAGGCCAATGCTCTATAGATGTTTCTGTCTTATCACTCTCCCTTCCTCTCTAAAAATCAATTTTAAGAAAACATTTTTTAAAAACTTGTGAAAGTAGGTTATATTTTTTTCTCTACCCATTACCAACATGAATCACTTTTTGGAAGGAGCTGAGGAGACCCTGAAAGTAGTTTAGCCTCAGCCAATTCCTGAGCCTTTTCTCTGACTGGCCCATCCTCTACTTTTACTATATCCAGGACTTCACAGGTTTTTGCAAGTGCTATTCTAGTTTACAAATTACTTTTCTAGCAAAAACATTTTTTTGAGGCCCAACTCAAAGGTTACTTCAGAGTCTTCCAGTGCTCCGCTTGCAGTCTGTACTAGCTCCCAACGTCTGGATAGAGTTCTGTTACACATTAGGTGTTGAAATTATTTGCTTACAAATCAATGAACATTACAAGAACTGTTGGCTAAGTCCTCTAGTTCTAAAGCGTAGAATTTCTGGGGGCAGAATGTTTCACTTGTTGTGCAAATCAGCATTGTTTTAGGGCTCTTTTAAAAATATATATATTTTACTGATTTGTAGAGAAGGGAGGGGAAGAAACATCCATGTGAGAACATAATATTGATTGGCTGACTCCTGCATGCCTCTTATTGGGGAATGGAGCCTGAAACTCAGGCATATGCCCTAATCAAGAGTGAACTGGCAACCTGTCAATGCCCAGCCAACTGAGCCACATCGGTCAGGGCTGTTTTAGGGCTCCTAAGGTATGAAGTGTTTTTCCCAGTTAAGAGACTCCTGGGCAGTGGTCTTTCCCTTCCCTTAGGCAGCCAAAGTTCATATTTACCAGGTAACATTGAGAGGTAATGTGGTATAATAATGGTGAAACTCACGGCCAGAACGTTTTGGAATCCAGATCACAGGAACCCAAGGCTTGATTATTTCCAGAAAAGCATGTTGGAAATTTGTTGAAGAGGCAATATATAAATCAGACTTTGCTCAATTTCCACAGGATGAAGGTGTTCTAGGCAGATAAAGAACATAGTAAACAACAACAAAGTGAGGGGTGGAGCAGTGTAACAGGAAGGATCAAGTGGAATAAGCAGGCAAGAAATAACAAAGTCTGGCCTTGACCAGCAGCTAGCACAGTTGGTTAGAGTGTCATCCCAATATGCCAAGGTTGTGGGTTTGATTCCCCAGTCAAGGCACATACAAGAATCAATCAATGAATGCATAAATATGTGGGGCCACAAATCTATGTTTCTTTCTCTCTCTAAAACCAATAAAAATTATTTTAAGAGTAATAACTAAATCTGATATCACGTATTAAAAAGTTACTTTCTCCTGTGCTACCAAAGAAAATAGCAACAATATTAGAACCTGCCATTGAGTCAGGGAGACCATTTAGAATGGTGGTGATTGTGGCCAGAGCTCTTGCCGATTGTTTTCTTTTTTTTTTTTTTTAATATATTTTATTGAGTTTTTTTTTTTTTTCTTTTTTTTTTTCTACAGAGAGGAAAGGAGAGAGATAGAGAGCCAGAAACATCGGTGAGAGAGAAACATCAACCAGCCGCCTCCTGCACACTCCCCACTGGGGATGTGCCCACAACCAAGGTACATGCCCCTGACCAGAATCGAACTTGGGACCCGTCAGTCCGCAGGCCAACGCTCTATCCACCAAGCCAAACCGGTTTCGGCCCAATTGTTTTCAAGCAGAAACTCAAGCCTGGTAATGCCAGATATTTTTCAAGATAGTTATCTATTTTAAAACTAGAGGTCCGGTGCACAAAAATTTGTGCACTCAGGGCGGGTGGGTGGGGGGGAGGGTCCCTCAGCCCAGCCTGTGCCCTCTCGCGGCCTGGGATCCCTCGGGGGATGACCACCTGCTGGCTTTGGCCTGCTCCCCGGGGGATTGGGCCTAAGCTGGCAATCAGACATCCCTCTGGCAGCCCGGCAGCCCTTGGGGGATGTCCACTTGCCAGCGGGGAGCAGACCTAAGCTGCAGTCGGACATCCTTAGCGCTGCTGAGGAGGCAGGAGAGGCTCCCACCACCACCGCTGTACTGGTAGCCATCTGCCTGGCTTGTGGCTGAGCAGAGCTCCCCCATGTGGGAGCGCACTGACCACCAGAGGGCAGCTCCTGCATTGAGCGTCTGCCCCCTGGTGGTCAGTGTGTGTCATAGTGACCAGTCATTCCCTGTCTTTCTGCTGTTAGGGTCAGTTTGCATATTACCCTTTTACTATATAGGATAGAGGCCTGGTGCACGGGTGGGGACTGGCTGGTTTGCCCTGAAGGGTGTCCCAGATCAGGGTGGGGGTTCCGCTTGGGTGCCTGGCCAGCCTGGGTGAGAGGCTGATGGCTGTTTGCAGTTGGTCACACCCCCTTCAGGGTGGGGGTCCCCACTGGGGTGCCTGGCCAGTCTGGGTGAGGGGCTGAGGGCCGTTTTCAGACTGGCCGGCAACTGAAGCTCCCACCCTCTCTTTTTTTTTTTTTTATTCTGGGGTTTATTTACCTTCTATAATTGAAACTTTGTCGCCATCCTACTCGCTCCAGCTCTGAGGCTACGGCTGGCTGAAAGCAGGTATCTGGGGTTTGTTTGGCTTCTATAATTGAAACTTTGTTGCTTTTGGAGTTGTTGCTTTTGGACCTTAGAGCAGGCCGCAGCAGGCTGGGAACCTTGGCTTCCTCCATCACTGGAGCAAGCAAGCCTCCTGCTCGCTTCAGCTGCGTGGCTGCCGGCTGCCATCTTTGTTGGCAGTTAATTTGCATATCTCGCTGATTAGCCAATGGGAAGCATAGCGGAGGTATGGTTAATTACCCTTTTTGTCTTTTATTAGATAGGATGTTGGCAACATATTAAAACTGAAACACACTATCAGTTAACCAAAATCCTCTTTTTGGGTTCATCAATTTTTTGGCTGCTTGTCTATAATCTTTGCTTTAGGAATTGATCTAATCCAAAGCGAGTAATCAGTGAGCTGTATGGCCTTAATGGGCTCACTAAGTTATAGTGACAGAATGCAGATCAGTGGTTGCTGGAGTTTGGATGAGAAGGATTCCTAAGGGGCACACAGAAACTTCTAGAGATGATGGATATGTTCACTATCTTCATTGATGTGATGCTATCACATCAAATTGTACATTTTAAATGTGCCATTTATTTAATGCCAATAATATTTCAATAAAGCTGATTTTTAAAAACATCTTTATAGCAGGAGTAGGCTGTTACCAATTCTTAATTCCACTGTTAAGTCGCAGGTTTAAACATGTTCTCCCATTCACATCACGAGAATCCATTCTAGAAGAATCCCAAAGAAGACAATTTAGAACTTTGCAACAGGTTTTTATTTTTGCTTTATTTCTATTACAGTGTTTGAAACCTAAAGAAATACATTTTCTCTTCAAATTTGGATGTGTATATAAATATCATTTGTCTGGACTCAGCACACTCAATGCCATGGTTTCTTGGCCTATGTCTGCTCTGAAATCAAGCTTTGTCGTCTACCCAGGGGCCCTGAGAACATAGAAAATAGCCAGAGTTTACAGTTCTTGGAAAATGAAAAGCAAATGAATTTGGAAAGGAAAACCAGTGAGAAACAGGGTTCGATTCACCTTTGCAGGGTCTGTACTGGGCACCCAAGCTGCTGTTGAGGGACATCTGGTTTGTCTTGGGCGGCTGGGACCTCACGCCACCTTCGCTTCTGTAGTGGCTCATTCAAAGGCAGTTCCCACACAAGTTGGCTAAAGAGTCAACACCCAACTATAGGGCCTGAGGGTTCTCATAGATGTGGACTCTCTAAAGCCATCCGGAGTCAGAGGTTCCCAGTCAGCCTCAGGATCTGACATTTGACCTCCTTCACTACTCCCAGGGAATGGCAAGATACTGTCCTAAAACCCAGGGGCTGAAAATCTGACCTACACAGGGGAGCAGGGATCTAGCATTTAGCAGAGGGGCTCAGGTATGTTCTAACGTGGATATCAACAGTCACGCTGGCCCAGAAATAGCGAGGTAGGCCCAAACTACACAAACCTTTGTAACACTACGCAAATCTTTCTCCTGTGGTGTTGAGCCCAAAATTTAATGCTGCAAAATATCCCAGGCCTGAGGCAAAATGCCCCCAAAGGAAATATAACAGCTTTAATTCACACTTGGTTGGTGCTGACCTCAAATTCTTCCCTTGCTATGGTCTTAATCCGAGGCTGGCAGATAGACAAAAGGATTACTGAATCATTTGTGAAGGCCTTGGCCAAAGAGCAGCTAGTGCCTATGACATGAATCCCCACAGGGTCAAAATCTCAGCTTGTTGGTTTAACAAAAGAATCCAAAAGTTAAGACACAGAAAAAATACT